TCAGTCCAGAAAATTCACCAGGTCCTGCAGCTGCCTCCGTTCACTGGAGCCAATGATTATTACCACAATTCTCCAGGGGTCGATTGGGGCACTCTGATTGACGCCATATGCTCAGGGGGAAGGCCAGTTTGGATTCAGGAAAACATGACCCTACATTCCAAGTCGTTCACATGGGAAGCTAAGTGCTGGTTCACCATGATTTGTAGCAGATTGTTGCCCACGGGCAACACAACAGATGTGAACAGCTTGCGGGCTCTACTGGTTTGGTGCTTCGTGACCAGGAAGGACATTGATATTGCTAAAATCATTGGAGATGAAATGATCCTCCGGTCGCCTCTGATGACTAAGGGGTTTTACTTCCCCTCACTTGTGACGAGGTTATGTTTGATGGTTAATGTCCCAGTCAATCCTATGGATGGCACTTTACCCCTAAGAACAACTTTCAGAGCGTCAAAGATCAAAGTGGGTAGAGATGCACCTACACACATTGACCTGGACGATAATGATGATGCCCCAGCGCCCATGGCACCACCCCGGAGGTCTTATGATGCAGCTGGTTCCTCAAGGCAACCCCATACTGGGGCGGAGTTCTCTAGATCATACACCAGCCGACCCTTGTTGACTTCTGTGGAAGAAGACGTGGCAGAACTTCGCTCCTCTGTGGATAGCCTGCATGTTCGTTTGGATGCCATGTCTAGACGGCAGGCTAGGTCTGAGAGCTGGGTGATGGCTTGGTTCCGGGCTCTAGGGAGGGCCTGTCACGTGGATCCCAACACCGTCTCTGATTCCGAATGATGACCAGGGAAGTCCTCTTACCCTTCTGTGCTTTAAATTGTTTTATGACATGAGGACATGCCATACTCTTTGTGTGTGGGGTGGGAGACTTAATGTATATATTGTTGTTAGTGTATATATGTGTTGTTGTGTATGCAGCTTAGATGTAACCAACTCGGCCCAACGACGGACACTTGTCGACGGGTCTCTTGAGGGCTAGAGTCGGATATTAAGAAAAAAAAACTAGAAAAGGTAGGAGACTCTTCCTGATGACAGACCACCTAGACAGTATTCTTGAGGGAAGTAGTCTAATCAAAAAGCCAAATTATTTTCTTTTTAGGTAGTGTAGTAATTCCCCCTTGGTTTTTCTTTTGACCGCGATTCTTTTCCAAGGGTTTTTCTTGAACCGGGTTAGGTAGATTTTTCTTTAATAGAATTTAGGACCCTTAGGATTTTTTTTGGGCCAAGATGGGTTGGGCAAGAATGCAACCCATGGTGTACATACCTGCAAATACTTAAAACGAACTTGAGGGTGCGACGCCTAGGCTCATGTGTAGACTCTTAATCTTATGCCTTAATTTTGCACACCCTGTCTTGCTTGAACACTCATGTGAATGTGTTGACAAACTAATTTGGATTGAGTTATATGCCAAGTGTGTGTGAAGTTATACACGTATTCTATGCTTGCATGCGATACCTAGAACTTGCCCCGTGTGTGTGCAAAGCAAAATAGTAGTTGTTTGGTCTTAGAGATGATTTAGGCATTTCTTTGTGTAGCCTATGCCTATATAATAATAATCCACCTGTTACACATTACCATAGTTAACCCCTTTGAGCCTATAATCCTTTTTCTTTGGTAACCACATTACAAGCCTTACCCATTTGTTTGAATTAACCATCTATTTGAACCTTTTCACCTCTCATGAGCACTTGAATGGTTATGAACCTTGTAAAAGTTAAAGTGAGGGGTGATCGGTTAGCTTTCGAGTGGAACTAGTTGAATAAGGAGAAAGGTGCACTGTTTTGAAAAAAAGGAAGAGCCACTTGAAAAAAAATAAAAAAATAAATAAGCATAAAAACTCCTAGATAAGTGGTGGCTCTTGATGTAAATGTGCTTAAAGAAGTATGGGGTAATATAAATTGATGTGAAGGTGGAGTTGGGCTTGACATAAGGATGAAGTTTAATTGAGAAAATGTATGTATTAAAGTGCTTAGGGAGATGTAGTCACTATCATATCTAAATGTATCCTACCCGTCCCGTAGCCTACATTACAACCAAATGAAGCCCTATTGATCTTAGACTGAACAATTCGATTAGTAGAGTATTACACTAAGAGCAAGCTTATGGTGTATCTGTGTGGCATATGAATGTTCTTTGCTGAGAGTGAGTTAATTCGTTTATTCTATAGTTACTTGTTGTTTGATTTCATGTATGTGGAACTTCTCTCAAAAATGTGATGTGAGGGCATTGAACTCAAGAAGAAAAGCAAGTCTTCACTTCTGTTAGAGTACATAGAGTAAGCACGAGTGTGGCATGGCATTAGAGTCTTCATCTGAGGTGTGGCTGTTGCACTACTTAGGTTGTTCTTTCATAATAGCAGGTGTGACATAAAAAAGGTAATGCATCTAATGAATAGGCCTAAAAGTGTGGTTCAACTTACTCGAGGACGAGCAAAGATTTAAGTGTGGGGTGTTGATAATAGGTGAATTAGACTATAATTAGACCCTAAAGAACCATATTTTTGTATAGCTTTATTATAAAAAGTGATAACCAAATGCTCTGATTAGTGCTTTTCATGCTTTGCAGACTATATCCAACGAAAGAAGTCGATGGAGCAAGTTTGGGATCAATTACGGAGAAAAGGAGGCCAATCAAACAATGCCCAAGAAATGCACCAAGTGAAAAGTCAAAGAAGTGCTGAAATTGACCTGCCGCGGTCAGACCGTAACCGCGGTAGGACCGCGGCAGAGTAGAGTTGCAGATTCAGAGAACCCATTTGGCCGCGGTCCCGGTGTAACCGCGGTGGGACCGCGGCAAAACGCGAAATAGCCAGGGACAAAAGTGTCAAGTCGGGAAAACTTGGTGTAAAACCCTTATAAAAAGTAGGATTTCGGCCTCATTAGGGCAGATTTTGTTTGGAGAGTACTTTGGGCAAGAAACACAAGTGTGAGAGATCACCCAAAATATCATAATTCTTTATTTCTTCTTTTTCTTGCAATTTTACATGATGAATATTTTCGTAGTTTCTCTTCAAGTTGTTATGAGTAGCTAAATACTTTAGTCTAAGGTTTTGATGGAACCTATTGAAGGATGAACTTCTTGATTATGTTCATATAGTTTGCCGGTTAATCTCTATTTGTTCAATTATGTGTTTATTGTAGTTAATTGACAGGATCCTCAATTAGCTGTGCCTATTTAGTGTGCATAACTCGGAAGAGAGTGCATATTTAGGTAATTGTTGAACAACATCACTCCCAAAGTACGAGAGTGATCTATAACTGCGGGTTTAAAGGCGGGATTAGGGATAACGAAGCCTTGGGTGTAATCTAAAGTGAGCTGTAATAAACAAAGTCAGCTAGCGTAACTCGGGAGAGTGCGTCTAGTAAATTATCGCGATTACTCGGGAGAGATTTACGGTAAAAAGAGTGCTCATGATTGATAGAGATATTTTGGTGAATCTATATGAAACATAACCGGAAGGGATTCCATCAATAGGGGAAATCATTACCTTAGAACCTTCTCATTATTATTTACAACCCAGCATATTTAGTTTACAGTTGTTTATTTATTTACTTGCAATCTTAGTTAGTAGAAATACCACCAATTATTGTTTACAAAGTTTGAGGAAGTTGATTATAAAGAATTTAGTGGTTCCAACAAAGGTAATTGATAGGTTAATTCTCTGTGGGATTCGACTCCGGATTTGTAAACCGAATTATATTTGCAACGACCGCATTGTTCTTTTTATAAGGCATAGTTGAGTGTGATCAATACTTCTCTAGCATCACTCCTCAACCTTAAATTGATTTTATCAAATAGTTGTTCGACAAGTAAACACTAAGACTAGCAGTCCCTTCCGGAAGATGCGCAACCACAGAAGCAGTCCCCTCTGGAAGAGACAAATAAACCTGAAAATACATTAGAATTAAGTAGGTAACGATCACCAAATTGTCGCTGACCTGTTACTGGCTAAAATCAAAAGACCGTGACCTATGATTAACGTGGCACTGCATGCATGTTCTCTGTGTATACAACACCCAAGGTAGCTATCATAAGCATGAAGCCTTCATGCATCCATAAAGAGCTTGGGTATACTTTAAAAGATAAAGGAAAGAAGCAATGAAGGTCTGCAACATGCTACAGGGGAAGTTCAAGAGAACGAAGCCAAGACCCAAGAGTTCAAAGATGCTCAAAGTTCCAGCCGAAACCGCGACCACAGTTCTCATTCCGCAACTGCAGGATGTGAGAAAGAAGCCAAATCTGCGACTGCAGAATGTCCAGATTTCTGCCAGGCATTTTTCAAGCACCATTGAATCCTCAAGCAAGCACCGTTTAATTCTATGCCTCTTAATTGAGGGTTCCATATAGCTAAGGTGCTCTGTTAGATTTCCTAATATAAGGTATTTGGTTTCTATTTACCAATTATTGCCTATTAGATTCAATATTGTGCCTAGTTTCTATATCTATCTTCTCATCTCTTTCTTATTCTGATATCCTTGTTTGTTTATCTTCCTCTTACTACCCACCCCGCTATGGGTAACCATATTAGAATAAGCTAGGGTAAGGAAAGTCAATAATGATAAAAATGTGTCAAATTGCAAGTTACAACAGAATAATGTCATAACTCATACTCCCTCCGTTCCAATTTATGTGAACCTGTTTGACTGGGCACCGAGTTTAAGAAAAAATGAAGATTTTTAGAATTTGTGGTCCTAAACAGGTCCAAATGGGCCCAGAGTATTTTTGTGGTTATCAAAGCTTCTCATTAAGGGTAGAGTTGTAAGTTTAAGCTAAATTGTTACCAAATTTAGAAAGGGTTCATTTTTTTTGGAACGGACCAAAAAGGAAATAGGTTCACATAAACTGGAAAAGAGGGAGTACTTTTTAACTATAAGCTTTGGTGGTACGACGAAGGGCACTTTAGTAATATCTTTATTGTTCAAGGGCACTTTGGTAATGAGTTATAGTCCTTTAATGTGGGACAGCTGGCTTCACCTTTAAACCCATTTCTTAGACTTCCACTTTCTTCATTGTTTTCATCGTTCATTTCCCCTTTCTTGACAAACAAAAGTTTCTTCCATATCTCTCAAGGCTCTCTGCCAAAAAATAATGGAGGCTAAAACCACAAATTTTTCTATCCTTTTCTTTCAATCCTCCGCACACTTTCTTCAATGGCATTGTTCTGTTTTTTCAACACATCCTTAATGATTGTGCTATTTCCTTTGCTCCCGTGGCTTTGTTCTGATACTGTTCTAAAATTTTACTCCTTTTGTTTCCAATTTGTCTTGGCTTCAACGATATTTTTAATTTTGGTGAGTTCCCCTTTCTTTCTATAGTTATTGAGCTAGGTTCTCGGTAGTTATGTAGGTGCATGTTTGCGCTACATAATATATTTTCTTGGTGTATGCTTAACATGTATTTTGATTATTTGTTCACATGTTTATATTGATATTTCTACGCAGATACTCTTTTTCTACTACAGCACAGGGAACACTGTATCAAGACGAAAATAATAATGAAGTGGTGAAGAACTTTAATGTAGCCAAATTGTTTAGACGTTATGCCTGAATATCTAGGTTCCAACCCTTTATCTGTAAACCTTGCTCTGTTTGCCTCATAAAAGTAGAAGGATCTATGTCAGATAATTCCAAGTATGATAAGTAGGTAACTCCCTCAAAGAACTCTCATTGCTATAAAATTGCCGACTATGATTTAATCTTCGTAGATGTCATTCAGTTGTCTAGCATTTTAACTTGATTTCACTAATAATGTACTTCAATTGCTAAGATTTATTTTAATTGAGATGAGTATTTGGACAAAGTATGTTTCCTTCCATATTAATTATGTGGAACAAAAGCAAGTCTCTTTAAACTACTAAAGAAATCATGCCTTATATTTTGGAACTACGATTTGTCAAATTTTATAGATTTCTTTCACTTTAAATGTCAAGACCGTTACTTTAGCCTCAATCGAAGAGGAACAGACTTATTCTGCTAAAAGGACCTCTATTTTCTCCTAAGTTACGAGATTTCTTAACGTACCTTCGAACTTAGATGCATATAATTTATATTTTGGTCTTAGTAGAAGAGGATAACTCATTCTACTAGAAAGGACCTCAAAATTTTCATAAGTTCTTACATATTTCTTTTTTCTTTTAGTTTAGAAAGAAGGTTCTTACATGTCTAATTGCTCAAATTGTGACTTGGCCTCAGTTGAAGAGGACATAATTGAAAGAGATGGTACCTTCTTTTCGGTGCAAAATCTGATTCTACATGTGTACGTCTTGATCTAGGCCTCACTGTGGTCATTTCTGGTATTACTTCAGTAATTCAGTTTATGAGATAGCAACAGTATTGGGGACTGTATAAACTCATTATCAGCATGTTTTGCTAATAGTGTTAGATGTCTCATAGGACATTTAGAAGAAAAAGTAAAAATACACTCGCTCTGTGCCAAAAATGCTGCTGACAAAGGTTCAAAATTAGTCATTTTTATCGCCATGTCAACTCTTACTTCTCTTGCATTAAAGTTGATGCATCATGGGTTGCTACATTAAGCTACTGTCATTTAACGAACTGACCAAACATCAACAACAGATAACAAAGTAAATAAAATTGCTCTTCATTTCTCATATTTGTTGATTATTGTCTATGTTGCTGCTTTATGTGCTACATTTTAGGACCACAGCTATTTATTTTTAACAATTACGAGTATAGGCTGGAGTTTGAAGCTTTACTACTGCTGTATTTAGGTAAATCTTGTACCATCTCGATGTTTCAGGAAATTTAGGCTTAATTTGTGGAATGAAACTTATTTTGATAATTTCTTTTCTGAAAATTATAAATTATGTCAGTATCCTACACCTTTTCAATTTTATTATAGGTGTCTGATTCAGGTTTGTATCCCCTTGTTTGGTAACTATATCAAAGTGTTATTTGTGCACCTAATTTGGACTTTTTTGTTTTAATTATGGTTTTATTTCATTTATTCCTAATGTGCGGATCAAGGTTATGTATTGTAGGAAGCTTATATGTAAATGCTGTAAACAACATGTTAGCAGCAGGTTTAGATGAACCAACAAAGAGAGTAGTCCGTTTTAGAGAGGAAATAAAAGTAGGAGATGTGAGAAATCATTCTGCTGTCGTTGGCATTTCCGATGGAAATAAATGCTGACTATTGCACTGCCGTTCGCCATTCTGATGGAAATTGCATGTCTTCTGTCTTTCCAATGTGAGTAACAATTCTTCTTTTTTGGGGTTCTGTTCAAAAAAGATATTTTATCGCTAATTAATTATTTAATGCATTCATTTAGCTCCTTGGATTTCTCCGAGTTAAATAAAGAGACAATCTGCTTAACTGTTCATTAATTAAGCGTTTTTGTTAATGCGTGAATGTATAGATAGAGACCATCGAAATCGTGGATGTGTAAGGGTTCTTTCTTTGTATTATCTCTAACTTACATGCTCATACATGGGCCATTAAGACGATTTGAGAGTGTAAACCAAAAACTGGATCATATAAACACCTCTACTAATGTAAACTTGAAATATGCACTTGTGGTACTTTTTATACTATAACATATACACAGAGGCGACATCACTAATTGTATTTTGTAGCAGATGACAGAACAAAGATACAGACAAACAAGGTCTGTAAGAATGCAACAGACCATATTTGTAAATAGCAATCCGAGTTAAAGACTGCTAAAGATTAATGATTACAATAAAAAACTGATGACAAATTTGGCACGAGAAGAAGCTTAAAGTGGATTATTAAATATGGACAATTAACTTAGCTTGCAAAGTATTTCGCAATTTTAAATTAGAGTCACTTTGCTTAACAGCAAAATATCCATACTCTTCTGTACTACAAATCATCTCTCATAGGTGTCTGATTCAGATTTGTATCCCTTTGTTTGGTAACTATATCAAAGTGTTATTTGTGCTCCTAATTTGGACTGCTTTGTTTTAATTATGGTTTTATTTCATTTATTCCTAATGGGATGATCAAGGTTATGTATTGTAGGAAGCCTGTATGTAAATGCTGTAAACTACCTGTTAGCAGCAGGTTCAGATGAACCAACAAAGAGAGTAGTCCGTTTTAGAGAGGAAATCAAAGTGGGAGATGTGAGAAATCATTCTGCTGCTGTTGGCCTCTCTGATGGAAATAAATGCTTAAGTGACTATTGCACTGTTGTTCGCTATTCTGATGGAAATTGCACATCTTCTGCCTTTCTAATGTGAGTAACAATTCTTCTTTTTTGGGGTTCTGTTCAGAAAAGTGATTTTATCGCTAATTAATTATTCAGTGCATGCATTTAGCTCATTGGATTTTCCTGAGTTAAACAAAGAGACAATCTGCTTAGTTATTAATTAATTAGGCGGTTTTTATTAATGTGTAAATATATAGATAGAGACCATCTAAATTGTGGAAGTGTAATGATTATTTCTTTGTCTTATCTCTAACTTACATGCTCATACATGGGCCATTAAGATGATTTGAGAGTGTAAACCAAAAACTAAACCATATAAACACCTCTACTAACATAAATTTGAAATATGAACTTGTGGTACTTTTAATACTATAACTTATACATAGAGGCGGCATCGTAATTGTATTTGGTAGCAGATGACAGAACAAGGATACAAACAAACAAGGTCCTGGATCATTTAAGATTGTCTGGAAAGATTTGACAGTAAGAATGCAACATACCATATTTGTAATTGGCAATCCGAGTTATAGATTGCTAAAGATTGATGATTATAATCAAAAACTGATGACAAACTTGGCACAAGAAGAAGCTTAACATGCATTATTAAATATAGACAATTAACTTAGCTTGGAAAGTATTATGCAATTTAAAAATGGGAGAGTCACTTCGCTTAACAAGCAAAATATCCATACTCTTCTTTACTACAAATCATCTCTCCTTAGTTTATTTAAATCCTTATATTTATTTTTCCTTTTCTATTTTTCTTTTATGGTATAAGAGGCATCAACCAAATATTATTTTATTCAAAATAAGGAAACATTGGCAATCGGGTTTTGATGCGATCGGTTTTGGTCTAAATGAGTTGCCGATTGTAGGTTTCTTTGTTCACCTACTCTTTAATGTCTTATGGGATAGTATTCCAGTCCTTTTTGGGAACTATTTGAGTCCATAGGCTTGGATTGTATTTTTAACTGACATGGAAAACAAACTGTATTTCATAAGAAATTAGAATTTCTTGCAATTGTAGGCATATGATGAACTCTTTGAAGAGGTAAAAAAACACAGTATTGGTTCCCCTTTTATTTATCGTACTAAAGGGAAATGAAAATTATAACTTATTAATATGTGTTATGGCAATAGGTGGTAAGCTCATACTTCAAATATTGATATGCAAGAGAGCAAGAAATTAGATAAAGCCTACAGGTTCTTTTTGCATTGCAGTAAGATTAATGGTTGATTTTTCAACTACGATTTACTGTTCTACAGTACTATCAGCATACTTGAATTTAATCTGGACTTGCATAAATTCTATATAAGCTATGAATTCTGACATATTTCTTCTTGTTAGGGCAGAATTGAATCAGAGGAGCCAAGATATTGTGCTTCAAGAAGGGAGCAAACATTTTCCAATTGTGCAAAGTCTAGGATATGTTTGTTCTTTATTGGGTAAAAAACTATGTAATACATATTTCTTTGGTAGGTTGTCATAGCTTCTTTCCAGTCATTCTAACGGGCCCGTGCACAGCACGGGCAGCCCTCATCTAGTATTAAAGAAACAAAGGTCCAAAAAAATGATTTTAAGTGTCGTATAACTGCTAAAGGATATATGGTACCTTCTTGGAAAGTTGAGAACTACGTTTTTTTCCTTTTAACACAATCATTCTCCTTTCCTACTACTCTCTTGTTCAAACGCTACCAGTCTCCATCCATCCACCCAAGAATTCTCATTCATAGTCACACTTCTCAAAGAACAATCACTCATTCATGACAACCATACACATCTCATAATTTCAGTAGTTGGCCCGAACTACGTTTTGACCTAACTCTTGCGTTGGCAAGATACGTAAGCAACCCTACATCAGGGTTCGGTCTTCCAACTATTTCAATATGATTTCCTCACTACTGAAACCGGGGCAATTTTTTTTGGAACAGTGCGATGATGCACTAAACCTCTCGAAAATCTCCAAAGAGTGTCAACCAAATTTCACCCAAAATCCAAATCTCAAAATACCATACCAACCTTACTCTAACCCTCACAACAAGGTAAAATGAGAAAATTGTGTATTAAAGTGCTTGACTACATCAGTACTGATGGAACCCTACTATTGGACGTCTTAAATATATGTTAGGTATTTGTCATAATTTTCTTACCATATTTGGTTTTCCTATCCGTTGAAGGAAAGGGCAACATATTTACCTTAATTGAGTTTTTCTTTTTGTAAAAGAAAATTATAAATCTTCAATATTTGGGTAGTCTTTTTTCTTGTAGGAAAAGGTTTGGATTTCTATTAATTGAGGATCCTTCATTCTCATTCAGTAGCATCCACAATGTAGCCATAGGGTGCTTGAGAGTCTTGTTTAGGGGGAGAACTTTACGGGATAAGTGTTAGTGTGTCACTTGTGTTTGCCTCTTCGTGAGGTTGTTCTCTCGATATTTTGTACTCTCTTTTATTATAGTGGATTGTTCATCTCCGTTGTGGATGTAGGTCAGTTGACCGAACCACGTTAAATGTTTGTGTCTTTTTTGGTAGATTTCTCTTTGTTTTATGATTTATCGTGGTTCAAAGTTTGCTTTGCTAGCTTCTACATGACACCTAATTTTTTTTCAGTCCTAATAATATATGCAGTTGATGAGTACAAACAACAAATAGTGAGTACATAATTGACTATCTGATTATGTACAGAGCACCGGTGGAGATGGGAGACAGCAGCTCATGTTCATAACATCCACAGGCGTCTGTGATACAAGTAGTGAAGGACTTCACTAACCTTGAAATAAAGCAAGAAGAATAAGAAGAATGCTTATACTATATTTCTGTGCAGACTTTGTCCCTGCTGTCTAGTTAAGAATTTGAGAGAAACAAAACAGCCAGCAATGGAATGCCTTCCAGCACATGAACAGTTACATCATTTTCAAATTGAACTTGCTATTTGATGATACCAAAAGAATAAAAAATCTGCAATAAATATACAAGAAAGAAAAGATGCAATTTTTAAAGGTTAGCCAACACAATCTGCAACAATTATGCAAGGAAATTGAAAAATATGGTAATTTTTAAACATTAGCCAACACCTTCTCCAATATGTCAATATGATACCCAAAAAGAACAGAGAATCTGCAATAACCATACAAGAAAATAGAATACAATACTCTGCCCTGTTCCAAAAGTCTTGGTTTTTTTTTCCTAAACTCTTGTCGAATCAAATAAGTTCAAATAAAATAAAAGGGGAGATGATCACGCCCAACTATGCCTTATAAAAAGGACTAAGCGGACATTGCAAATATAATCTGCGTATTTAGCCCAGAGTCGAACCCATAAGGAATTAACCTATCAATTACTCTTGTTAGACTCACTAAATTCTACGTAATCAACTTCTCAAATGTTTTGAATAACACTTGAGGATATTTTTACTAACTACAACTGACTGCAATTAAGTAAATAAAGACTAACTATGATTAAGTTGTAAACAATTAAGAGAAGGATCTAAGGTTATGATTTCCTCTATTGATGGAATCCTTTCATGTTATGTTTCATATAGATTTGCCTAACTGTCTCTATCAATCATGAGCACTCTTATTACCGTAAATCTCTCCCGAGTAATCACGACAATTTACTAGATGCACTCTCTCGAGTTACGCTAGCTGGCTTTTATTACAACTCACTGAAGATTGCACCCAAGGCTTCGTTATCCCTAATCCCGCCTTTAAGCCCTCAGTTATTGATCCCTCGTATACTTTGGGAGTGGTGTTGTTCAACAATTACCTAAATATGCATTCTCTCCCGAGTAATACATACTAAATAAGCACAGCTAATTGAGGATCCTATCAATTGACTACAACAAGAACGTAGTTGAACAAATAGAAAATAAACCGGGCAAACTATATTAACATAACACGAAGTTCATCCTTCAACAAGTTCCATCAAAACCCTAGACAAAGTATTTAGCTACTCATAACAAAGCAAGATGAAACCACTAAAGTATTCATAATGTGCAAAATAGAATAACAAAGAGAAGATTGAAAAACTCTAATAGTTGATTGCTTTTCTCACACTTGTTCTTCCTCCAAAGCAGTCTAAAAATAAGCTTAATCTTTGCTTGGGCGAGTTTGTTGAGTTTATAAAAGGTTAGAATAAGTTTCCCCCGATTTACACTTTAGTCCTAAAATTTCTGGACAATTACACAGTCCACCGCGGTCGCGGCAGAACGCGGCACGATCGGGGTGAAACACAACTATTCTGCCATATGTTTTTGGCCTACTGCGGTCCAGCTGAGGTCGACCGCGGTCGCGGTGGCTTCTTGCCCAGTCCTCCTTTGCCTCTTTCTTGCTTATTTTCGTTTGGGCTCTTCTTGATTGTCCTTATATCCATATTGTTGACTCCAAAACACTCCATAGTATCTTCCTAACTTGGATTAGTCCCTACAAAGCAAAAGAACACCAATTAGAGTATTTTGTTATCATTTAGCCTTTTAAACAACCATAAAATATGGCACAATTGGAGTGTAAATAGCATCTATATAGCCTATTATCAACACCCCACACTTAAAATGTTGCTAGTCCTCTAGCAACAAACCACACTCTATTGGCCTAGTCGTCATTTGGTCACTTCCCTACTCCCTATACCAAGAATAAATCACATGGATAGACTACTTCAGCGCAACCTTCTCGCCTCAAGAGTGGACTCCTTTCTAGCCACACAATGCCCCTAAACAACTCTCCTACTCTCAGTCAGAGGTCCACACTTACCTTCCTTTCAAGAATCATGTGCCTACTCACTGCAAAAGAGGATCATATCATTTACAAATCACACACTGAGAAATTGGAATACAACATTTCACTCACCCTCAGAACAAATTCTTATGCCACAAACAACACACCATAGGCTTGACCGTAGTGTAATACTCGACTAATCGAGCTTATTCGGTCTAGAATCAAGTAGGACTTAATTTGATTGTAATGTTGGCTGCGGGACGGGTAGGATACATCTAGGTACAGTGACTACACCTCTCTAAGCACTCCACTACATTGTGTACTTTTAAACTCTTCACTTTATCACACCTTCCTTCCACCATTACATTATTGTGTTAACCCCTTCTCTTTTTTTTTCTTCTTAAGCACACTTTTTCTTTTAATAACTGCCACCATTTTGATGCTCCTCTTCTCTTTTTTTTCTTTTTCTGGTGGTCTCTAATATTATTTATCAACCAGTGCACTTTTTGTTTTCTTTGTCCCCTTAATTCTACTTAACAGCCCGACCAACCACCTCACAATTATATTTTTCCATATCCGTTAAACTTTGAGTGCTTCTAAGAGGTGATAGGGTGCAACAAGATAGGCTATTCAAAGCGGGTTAGGCTTGTAATGTGGTTGCCAAGAAAAATAGGCCTACAGGCTCAATGGGGTTGACTAGGGTATACACATTTAGGTGGGAACAAGCATACATAGAAGGGTTAATCAAAAAACGTCTATATCACTTTCCAGACCAAAAAAGGCTACCATTTCTCTTTGCACACACACAGGGCAAGTTCTAGACATTGGCTGTTAACATAGAATACAGAAAACCTCACTCACACACGACACATGACTCAATTCAGTTAGGATCATCAGACACTCCGTTCTAAGTACTTGAGCCATCCAGGGACACACAATTTAATCACTTCTTTGAGTCAACTAAAGAGCCTAAGTGTCACACTAAAGGAGTATTATTCAAGGTACCATAGAGTTAAGGGTCCCTATTTCCATTTCTCGCCCAAGACTTTCTAAACTAACAAAACAAAAACAAAAAAAATTAACTACACCCGGTTCAAATAGAAACCCTTGAAAAAGAACCGTGGTCTAAAGAAAAACCAAGGGGGAGTTGATACACTACCTAATCAAATGAAAATCTTTTTTTTTCGACTTATATCCCTCAAGAGACCCATCGAGAGGTGTCCGTCTTTGGGCCAAGTCGAATTTAACTAACATAAACCAATAATACCAAACAACAGAACAACACCATACGAAGTTATACAATTTTTACAACAACAATCATCCCCCACCCCACACTTAAAGCTTTGGCATGTCCACATGTCAACGAATATAAAGTAGACTAAGGTAAGGAGACTTCCCTGATGCTAAATCCTGATCGAATACAGTGCTAGGATCGAGGTGACATGCTCGTCCTAGTGCCCGGAGCCAGCCCATGATCTTTTTCTCTGACTTGGCATGTTGAATAGTCAAATTGTCAACTCTGGTGCCCAGGTCAGTGACAGAAGTGCGAAGGCCAGCCATTTCTTGCTCTAGGGCTGTCAAGCGGGTACTCACAGGCCCGCCTCATCAACTCTTGGCTATGGTGGGGTGGTAGTGTCCTCAACATCCTCATCAGCATCATCATCATCAACTACCACTACCGGCTCTCTCCCAACTATGATCTTGCTCGCTCGGAATGGGGCTTTCACTGGCAATTTCCCATCGACTCTGGGATTTTCAGGGACTCGTGCAGCACGACACAGCTTGGTAACCAGAGAGGGAAAGTAAAACCCCTTGAGTACTTCTGGGGAGCGGATGAACATCTCATCATGAAGGAGCGTGGCGACATCAAAATCATGGTGGGTCATAAAACAGTAGATAGCTACTGCTCGTGGCCCATTGACATCGATAGTGTATCTGGA